CCCCCCCCCCCCCCCAAAGTACTGCAAAATGCATTAATGACCAGCTCCTTACTTTACACTAACTGATTTTGTTAGAACGATAAGACGTCATCTGCTTTCAGTATATACTTAGGCGAGTCCACTGCGCGGTACTTAGAGTGCGCCCCTAGCGGCAAACGTAGGCGCACGTTCCAACTCCATACAAATCTCAGTTAACTTTTACGCTATCGAGAACGTTAAAAAACTCGCACTAAGCACACTATAGGGTTTGTCGAGAAGGGAACAATTTGGATTTAATATTACAAAATCAGAAGATAGTATAGGTATATAGGTATCCTTTCTCAGGACTAGAAAGCGTCCACTATCTCAACGATGGAATAACTTATTGCCGATACCTAAGATTTAAGATTGGCTAATATGTAGTGTGCTACTAAGGGTGTGATATATATATAAAAAAATGGGAAACATTTTTTCTAATCATTACCAGGAGAAATGCTAGTAACAAGATACGTAAAAGAGAAAATGTAATACATTAATCTGAATCGTGAAAGCTAATTACAAACACGGTGTACACCCAGATGAGTGTATTCAAGTAGATTAGCTCGTAAATTATTTATTGTTGAATAAATGTTTTTTTGTTATAGTTGATTTTTTATTCAGGGTAATGCTTTGCCTCGAATTGGTCCTAAAATAATGTCGCTCATAATTTTGCGACTTATCTGACGGTGTCTGACAATAGCCACATTCAAACCGTAAACAACAAATTTGTAAATTTTATTCTTCGAACCGAAAGAAAGATACCGTTTTATTTTTCTTAACGCTCGGTCTCATAAAGAAAAATATCCATTGTAAAATTTGATTGTAACATAAAACACGAAACGTGTTGTAGGGTTAGCAGAACAGAATAATAACTTTTGATAATTTTTATACAACATTTATATACCAATATATTTTTAACGTGCGTTTTACAAGTAGCAGCCGCACGTTTGTTACTTAATATATACGAATTATGCTAAAAAATGCTCATGGTTTCATTGTAATACGTTGGGGAAAAAGTTTCTTTGCATTTTTTAAGAAAATTCACAATATGTTTTAATATAGTTATATATTTATATTTAACTAAAGTATGTAGGTACCATTTTGTTCGATAACTTTTTGCCATCTTGTAGCTAGGGACATGATCCCATTGTTATAAAAATTTTGGGGTTTCTGATCAAAATACCGCAACAATCTTAATTATCTTCTTTAAAATTTAAACTTTTACTGATACCAAAACCAGCCAGATATAAATAGTATAGCCAAAGAGATTTTATTATAAGTTCATACATACTATAATGCTAAAAGACTTTCCCCAACCTATTATTAATTAACGTATATAAGCATGTGTGTCAGTCTCTGGCACCCTTAACACGGGGAATACTAATTTGGGGCCGCATGACCGTGCGTGATTTGTTCCCCGTTAGGTATTTATTATAAATGGTAGCAATCTCGAGACCGGCAAGGTGGATGGATAAAGGTCTCGGGGGGTGCAGCCCAATACGTTGGTCCGACCAGATCCGCATGGCTCTTGATTTCAAATTTAACAACGCCCTCCTCACCGCCATAGAGAATAGATGGAGAAAGATCGTGCGAGCGAAGCTGATGCAAAAGGGTGGTCACAATCCTCAGCAGTGAGGAATACGACGCAGGGAGAATGTATTTATCTAAAAACCCTTTCGTTTCTCTGTTCTATATGAGTTACAAGAAAAATACTCGCCAAAACATAGATTTTGTTGTAGTCGTTTTATTGTACCCACGAATAAACTGCACACGCTGCGAGAAACGTTGGTAAACGCAGTCCGTAGAAGCTATTCGGCACACCGCTGCATAATTTATAGCACAATCAAATTCCGGTTCACTTTGTTCGGAGCGAATCTGCAACAATGGAGCAAATTTACTAGTAAAGAAAATCGGTATGTGTATTCCCGAATATGAGAACGGTTGTTACATTAGAAAGCTTCAGGGATTCGGGAATACCACTAAAGGATTAGGTAGGTACATTGAGTGTTCGACGAGGGGTTAGTTTTATTAAAACAGTGTGCTTAGTGCGAGTTTTTTAACGTTCTCGATAACGTAAAAGTTAACTCAAATTTGTATGGAGTTGGAACAGCGCCACTAGCGGCAAACGCAGGCAAAGGTTATAACGTTGTTTAAATATATTATATATTGTTTTTTCAACCGATAAGTACACCGCGATATATTTATTTCCTGAAGTGATTCTTTTCCACCTGATAGTTGTATGGAAGAGTTCGCATTTAGCGATAATACCCATGTACTTTTGTATTTCATATTTTACATTTGTGTTTATTTTGGTGTACAATAAAGCATACTCTCTCTCTCTCACACACACACACACACACACAGCTAGGCACTCTTTCAACTTGTCTCCCATATATGATTGTTTGTTTGTTATTCAGCTATATATAATTTTCAGAATTTCTATTTATTTATTTATTTAATCAACAATGTTTCAACAGCATTTAACTAGACACAGGGTACAGAGGATGTTTTCCCAAACATGAGCCAATTAAAGAAACACATTATGTTTCCAAAAAATGTTAACATAATTAATGAACACAGGTAGTCCAGCTAAGGTAAAGGTAAGGCAGTTAAATAGGTAGATGAATTTTGTCGAATGATAACTTGCAGAATAAGTTTGAATCTGATTGTGTTGTGTCGATGTGTGTAAGTGCGTGTGAGTGTAATAAAGTGATTGGTTTACATGGACGCTCGAATTGATTATAAACGTTGATTGTTAATTGTAGAACACCCAAAATACTTTAAAGATTATTATTTTTCAATTTGTAAATATTTTAAAGATTCAAACAATAACAAACCTTTAGCTTAACTTAACTTAAGCTTATGAACTGCAGTTTTGAACATAGTTTTGGATGTTGTAAAGATATCAATATCTGAATAAAACTTATTGTAGGTCTTAGTTAATCTAATAGACATATCATTAGCCCCGTAGTTACTGCGCTCTAACGGTATATGAAAAAGATTCTAGTCTATTAATTTATAAATTATGCTAGTAGATACAAAAACACAGGATATTGACATAAACATCACATTCGCCTTTAGGATACGAAGGCTATTGTTAGCAGGGAACATATCGACGCTTGAAAGGCAAACGTGACTAAGCGACAACGCGTGAACTTTACAGTAGACTAATTTAAAGTTGAAATACCTGAAAAAAAAATTATCTTAACGAATCTAGCTGTAGGATTGAAATGATTTTAATAGACCTAGAAATATTATTTTTTTTGCGCATTGAATATAGTTATTGCCTATCATTTATGTACAAAGCAGTTATTGTCGCCTAGTCACGTTCGCCTTTCAAGCGTCGATATGCAAAACGTGAAAAAATAGAGTTCGAAATAAATTTTATGAATGTAAGCTAAAGGATTTACGACAAACTCAACGAAAACAGCTCGAAAAATGTATCGCCAATGCGGTTTTAGTTCCAGCCGGCCGTATGTCAGGCGGTCGATACGCAATATTGTCATGCAGCCAAACCTTGCAATATACATTCTGTGGTCGGAAGTATCGACTCGAAAGCAATGTATTGTTCAGTGTGCTTAATGCGAGTTTTTTAACTTCACGATCGCGTAAAAGTTAACTAAAATTTTTATGGAGTTGGACAGAGGCGGATTATTCGTAAGGCAAACTAGGCACGTGCCTAGGGGCGTGTAGTTACAAGGGGCGCGCGAGTTCAGAATTTTTAAATAAATAAAGAAAATTACATATCGACGATTAAGACGTCATCGTAATTGCAAAAACAACTAGTTAAAATTTATAGTATTATGCTGGCCATTTATGGCCGGTACAGGGGCGCCGATAAAGTGATTGTGCCTAGGGCGCTCTGGACCTTTAATCCGCCACTGGAGTTGGAACAGTTCCCTTCTCCCCTAGTTTTGACAGACTTCAAACGTCCGATGAACTTGAAACTCAGCACTCGCATTAAGGACTTATGATTCGCTCTTATATACTGACTGATAGAATGAAGATCAAATTATACGTTATTTCGGTTTTCTGTAATCAGCACGCTTAATAACGCGTTTATTAGACTTTAAACTGCTTAAATGTATAATAAAAATTTAGCTCTTCAGAGGATGAATTACAATGTAAAGGGTTTTATGGGAATTAGATTACTGTATATACGAATTCTGTTCTTTATTCGTTGCTAAATCATTCATCCGATTGTGATGATATTTGGTGTAATG